TTGATTAAGTCCATATCACTCAGTTGGGATAAAATATCTACTAGGAGAAGTTTGAGTCCTCTGTGAAAGAGTTCACTGAGAATATCTACACACTCCAAGCCCATTTTTCTGCCAATTAAATGTTGTAGTCTAAAATTTCCAGTAGATATAATTTTTTTAATGATCTCCCGATCAACTTTTGGATTTCGCTTGGCAGTCTTTTTTAACGTTGAACAAACAACTTTCTCAAAATGAAGAACTGGCAGTAAACTTTTGCTGGGATACTGGTCTGGGCTCTGTATCTGTGGCAGGCAGGAGTGTGGACTCTCACAAAAACTCTCCTCCAACAGGAGGCTCCCCTCATCTTGTTCAAAGAGTCTGCTTGGCTGAGAGAATGAGGCATATCCACTGTCTTCATAAAATCTACTACTCTCCAGTTCTGTTTCATCTGGACTGTCAAGGACTCATTGCACATGCTGGTTTTCTTTATTATGCAAAGGTTTGCTGTCCCGGTCCAGTTCTATAGATGTGGGGCTCCTAATAGGTGAGCCAAGAGATGACAACTTCTCATACTCTTTCGTGCAGTCTGTACAAGAACCTTCCAAACAGGCAGGCGTGCAGGAACTCAGTCTTCCCTCATCATCAGGTTTTATCAGTTTAGGTCCAGAACCAATATAGTCACAATTAAACCCACACTTCATTTTGAAGAAAATGCAGTATCTTCTTTATAGTCTGCAAAACAAACAAAAACCCCAATACATTTCTTTCTCGACAGGAAATTTCCACATTTCTATCTCTTGACTTAATTACTTTGTATCTCTCCAGCACTTCTGAACTGCACATTTTTAGTTGCTGGGTTACTTGATTCAGTCTATGTGGACCTAACTTGGGCAGAAGAGAATCACCTCATTAGGTTTTCTAAGCTAAGACCTTTCAGAAACAGATTGACAGAGCGGTCTTCTAAAAACTCCTCTCAGTAGGTGTCAATCTTTAGGCTTGTAAATGCTTGAACAGTTTGTGCTACCCTGGTACTCCAAATGCTTACATATATACTTGCCTGTTGACTGCACCCTGACATAGGAAAATGTGATTTCCCACAACTGGACCAACGAGCACCATGATGATAAATGAAGACTGCTGTCAAGGAGTTCTTTTTACTAGTATTTACAGCTAACAGTCATGGAAATAGAACTCAAATCAAAGGACATGTTGGAGCAGGCAAATCTGCTGACAAGGTCCAGTTTAAAGTGACAAAAACAATGATTGGCATTTGAAGACTCAACTGTTCCTGAAGTAATGCATGCTTTCTTTTATGGCTTAGTCCATAGGTGTTATAATAATCAAAAAGCTATACACTCCCAGTGATATGGGCAGTCAACTTCCATTAAGATTTACAGCCTCACCACAGTAAGATAAAGGTAAACAACCCAACTGAAAAATGGGCCCAGGGGAACAGACACTTCACCAAAGAAAACATTCAGATGGTAAACACATGAAGAAATGTTCAAAATCCTTAGGTCTAAGAGAGACGCAAATCAAAAGAACTATGAGATAACATCTCACCCCAGTAAGAATAACAAAATTTAACAGAGCAGCAAATAATAAATGCTAGCAAGGTTGTGGAGAAACCAGAACCCTTATTCACTGTTAGTGGGAGGGTAAAATGGTGCAACCACTATGGAAGGCTGTATGGCGATTTCTCAAAAAGTTGCAAATAGAAATACCATTTGACCCAGCAATTCCACTACTGGGAATTTACCCTAAAGAAACCATAACCGCCACCCAAACAGATATAAGCACATCCATGTATACTGTGGCTTTGTTCACGACAGCAAAGAGTTGGAAACAACCTAATGCCCATCAACAAACGAATGGATAGAGCTCTGGTATATTCACACAATGCAACACTATGCTGCTTTGAAAAACAAGGAACTCATGAAATACTATACAAAATGGATGACCCTGGAGGACATTATGCTGAGTGAAATATCTCAGTCACAAAAGGACATATACTACATAGTGCCACTGTTGTAAAACAGGACTGACATTGGTGTTGTGGGAGACTGAGAAAGGTGGGATAAAATTATGTATACTGCATGGAAACAGATGAGGGAGAAAACTGTTTAAAAGGGATATATGATTAGGTATTATTGTCATGACAGCAGAACGAAGGCTACATAGTGGAGTGGACTTGGGGGGAGGGATTGTAGAACAATTAAAGAATTTTTCTTTTACTTTTCAAAGAGAAGAGTGAACTGGGGAGGAGGGATGGGCAGGGAGAACAGTGTAACAATGGATATATTGATATATTCAATGTCTCTGTAAACTTTATTCAATGTCTCTGTAAACTTTCATTAATATATATATATAAAAGATTTACAGCCTCGGAAACTCAATGGAGTTGCTAAGAGCTGGAGTTAATTTGATGGCAGCTGAGATTTCAGGTACTGGATAATTTTGAATTGTGGTGTTGGTGAAGAGTATTGAACATACCAACAAGTACTTCAAGATATCTGTCTTGAAGATGAGTACTCATTGTGACCCTCGGAAGCAAGGATGGGGAGACTTGACAAACTTGGGGCACATTATCAAGAGCTGTTAAAGGACCCTGGAGGAGGACATAAGAACATAATGCTGGAGAGCAGAGTCAGTGAAAAAACAACCCTTAATGAGATGGACTGTCAGTCACTGTAGTAATGGGCTAAAAGATAGAATGTGGAGAGAGGGCAGATCCTTTTGTTTTCTATAGGGTCACTGAGTTGAAACTGACTCACTTGCTGATAGAGTTGTAAAATTATATTAAACTATATCATATGGGGTTTCTTTTATGCTTTTACTTTTTTTACTCTTTGTTGTACATTTTCTCCCCTAGCCCACACAACAACGCACCCCTTGTTCCAATCTGTTCTCATATATATAATGCATATGCTCCTTCAGGACAGTTCTTCCTCTCATCTGTTCTAATGCAGTGTCATTATCCATTCTGTCCTCATTCCCTCCCCAATTCCCCATGTCTGTCCTATTTTATAACAGTGGTGTTACGCAGGCTTTGTCCTTTCTTGACCCAAGTATTTCACTTAGCATCATGTCCTCAACGTGCCCCATGTTCTGTAATGTTTTACTATTTCATGATCATATAATCTTGAAACTTGGTCAACACCAGGCCTCCAGATGGTAAGGCCCCAATTTACTAGCTTCTGGTATGGTCTAGATCTTAGGAATCAAGAACAAATCACTTTTTGCCAGGTCAATTCTCACCTCAGACAGAACAGCACAAACTCAACTAGAAAAATGTGATGGAAATAGGAAATTGGGTGCAAATTACTGTCCAAGTTGTGCTAGAAATCATTTATTAAACTTTATCTTGAAGAAAGTCAAACACTTGCTCAAGGTTGGAGCAACTCAGACTGGGTAGGTATTTTGTAGCATGCCCCTGTAGGTTTTGTCTTGTAGTTTCATCATGAAAAGACTGGAACTTTAGGTTTTTATGAAGACGACATAATGATCATCATATGGTATTAAGCGTCTAAGCTATCAATGATTACTAAAGATGTTATACTGGATGAGGTAGGTGTCCACCATGCCATCTTTTTTCCCTTCCCAGCCATGGGAGCAATACAACTATGCACAGCCTACACTTCTTTGCTTCACGTAAGAGTGAATGAATGAAGAGGTTATATGCTGTTGAGTCACTTGCAACTCATAGCAACCCTGTGTAAAACAACTCTGAAGCTTTCCCTGTCCTGAGCCAGTCTCACTGACTCTGACCCCCAATACCCCAGTTACTGTATGGATCCCTCTTATCTGGGGTCTTCCCTTCCTGCATTGTTTCTCCACCCTTTCGAGCAGTATGTGTTCTTCTCCAAAGATTGGTCCCTTTTGGCCCCATGGCCCAAGTATGTGAGACAGAGTTTTAAAATCTTTGCCTCCAAGGAGAAACCTGGTTTCACCCTCTTCAAGGTGGTCCATGGTATGTTCAAGACTCTTCTCCATTAACCATTAACTCAAAAACATTGATTCTTCTGTCATCTTTAGTCACGGTCCAGCTCTCTAATGAACAGCAAACTGCAAAGACCATGGCCTGGATCAGGCGCACCTTAGTCTTTAGCCTGATACTGCTGCTTCTCAGTACTCTGGAGAGGTCCCTGACAGATCTTCCCAGTGCAATTTGTCCTTTGATTTCCTGACTGCTGGTGCCAAGTGTGTTAACTGTGGAGCCGAGCATACTGTATTTCTATCATTTTATTTTCTGGTTTACTTTCTGACATTACAAGATGATCCAGATCCATTCTCTAAGGAGGTGGAACAATGGTTGGTAATGTGAACCCACCAGCTGCTTTACGGGAGACAGATGTTGATAATGTCCTTCCATAAAAAATTTCCTCACTCATTGCCCTCAAGTCAGAAATGACTCATACCTGACCCTCCAAGGGGTTTTCAGAGATTGTAAATTGGGTGAGGAGCCTGCCCAGTTTTCTCCCTCAAAGCAGCTGGGGCTACCTTGGGTTAGGGGTGCTATGCCACCAAAGGCTCCCTCATCAAGTCATCGAAACGTGGAAACCCTATGCAGGCAGCTCCACTTTGCTCTAGCTGGTCACACTAACGTGGCACCAACTCAACAGTAGTAGTCTTGGCTGAGAGGAGCTCTGTGGCCTTGTAGTAAGAAGCTGTGCTGCAATCCCATAAGTGCACGGTTCGAAACCACCAAATGCTCTGCTGGGGAAGGAGAGGCAATCTTCTCCTGTGCCAGTTGGATCTGATTCAACGAGAAGGAATAAAAAAGGCGGGGAAACCCCAAACTGAAGCAGATAGGCTAGTGCTCATTAAAAAGAAAATTCTCAATGCTTTCCAAGTACCAATCTAAGCGCTCCCTAACAGGCTGGGGAACAAGTCCATAGAGTTGATAACGATACTCAGAAAGGGACAATAAATGGCATAGTTCTAGGAGTACTTGAATCACAGCAATAACTAGTTTTACCACTTCATTTATCCAAGGCACACTGACAGGGTGGGGGAAGGGAGGGTATCTGGAGAGGGTGACATCTTGAGGTCTGAAGAAGAGTGTTCCTGATTGAAACACTAGAAGCATGAGTAAGTTTAGGATACACATGAGAAAGGCCTGCTCACCACACCTTAGTGAGCTAAAGGAAGAAAAATAAGGTTTCACTGAAAAGTAAATGAAATTTTCAGGGAAACAAAAGTTAAAAGTACAGTAGATTATAGATTATGAGAAGGGAAAAGCCAAAAGCAAAGACGTCAGGAGTGTGCATCACCAAGCGAGAACTGGGTTCCTAGGACTGAAAAGGAAGCTAAATGAAGAGACAAAAGATATGATCTCAGTGGCATATGCATGGAAAAAAAAAAATTATCAGGAGGGCTAAGCCAGTAGGAATTGAGGTAAAAAAAAAAAAAAAACCAACCTTTAAAAAAATCAAGCGGTTTAAGCATCAAGGGTAAACCATTTACTGTTTGGCAGAGTTAATTCTTAAAGCCTCAATCATTCATTTATAAAAATAGAACTCAAGACACCAAAACTGGATTAAATACATGTGACTCAGAACCTGTTAAATTGGGGGCTACTCAAAAAGACACTTCTGTCACATTATTCACCATAAATCAAACTTTAATATTTCCTTCTTTACAAACCATGGAAGTTTTAAAAGCCTGTAAGATAACTCTCACACAGGAGCACACACTTCAA